TACTTATTTGATATTTACATGTATTGCAAAATAATCATCACAATAAGTCTAGTTAACCTTGTCACCATACATAATTATACATTTTTTTTTTGTAATGAGGACTTTTAAGATTTACTCTTAACAACTTTCAAAAATGAAATACAGTATTATTACCTATAGTAATAGGGCTTTCTTGGTGGCTCAGATGGCAAAGAATCTGCCTGCAATGCAGGAGACCCAGGTTTGATCACTGGCTCAGGAAGATTCCCCTGAAGAAGGGAATGGTAACCCATTCCAGTATTTTTGCCTGGAGAATTCCATGGACAGAGGAGCCTGGCAAGTTACAGTCCATGGGGTTGCAAAGAGTCAGACAAGACTGAGTGGCTAACACACACACACATTACTAACTATGCTATTATTAACTAGTAACCATGCTGTACATTACATCACCATGATTTATTTATTTTATAACCAGAAATTTGTACCTTTAGATTCCCTTCACCCAGTTCATCTATTTCTGCAGATTGGCCCAGAAGTAGTTACTTATATTCAACTTTTTAACAGCCATCACTCTTCATAACCTCCTTTTAGATCTTATTTTACCACATAGTCAAATACCTGTTACCATCTCTGTCTTTATTACTCAACTCTAGGTTTCTTGAGGGCAGAAATTTGATCTTATTCAAGTCTATACATAACCATAGCAACTTGCACAGTCCCAGGTGCAGCATGGCGTCAAATCATTGTTTTGGAATGGGTAAATGACTAAAGTCTGAGAAGTAGCATCTTGGGCAAAGAATATCACCCCTACACTTCAATTATCTAATTCCTCTCCTTATGCTAGAAAAGAGTTTTAATTTGGGCACTTTTGTAGTCTATCACAAAATTTCAATTGGAATGTGCAATTGAAGCAGTCACACACAACTGGTAAAGTCTGGGACATCTGTTTAATCCTTCACTCTGATAGTTTGGAGCCCACCAAAGATTTTGAAAGTCAAATGTATATTTATTCCACAGAGGAAACTTTATCAACCAGTGCAAAAGTTTACTGGCACTAGCTGGTGATATAATGGGTAGTTTAAATCCTGCTAACTGCAAATAATTTTTCAACAGTGTTTATGATTGTGGTAGAGTTTAGTGCGGCAGAAGTACAGATAACATAAATATTTCAACAAAGCCGATTGTACTGGAGCCATAAATAAATTAGACCCAGTTTGTAAATAAATTTAGTTTTTGCCAACAAACATTTATAATCCTCTCTTGCTGCAAATGATAGTAATTTATACAGAAGAGGTCTTGAATGCCTTTCTTTAAAAGTCAGTTCTCATTAGGAGGCAGTGCCTGGTGCCCGTCAAGTGTCTTAGACTGTGTGACTCAATTAGACATGAAGGATACTGTACAGACCACCTAATGCTACTAGTTATTGTACATGTTGATAATGACAATTTCCAGAGACCATACATAGCTTGGTAGTCTATGAAGTTGTCATATTATATCATTCCCTTAAATACCTAGCTTGTGTTACCACTTAACAATGTTGAAATTACCCCCTCTCAAATCATAAGTGCTATTTAGTGTGTGTATACACTTATGCATGACACATCTGTTCATATTTTCCCTGAAAACATTTTTTATTAACGTGTATAATGTTTTCTCAAATTAAAAAAAAAAAACCTTCACGTTTTTCAATGACATTCCATCCATCCCCATGGTTTTGAATGATTTTACGTTTAATATGATATACTGTTGGGAAACTCAATATGGGGGCCTTTAGAGTTTGAAATGGGGGCAGAAAATTGCACTTCTTGGAACCATCTAAACTTATTTTACACCAAAGATGCTGTATTTGCAGTGGGACCAGAGTCCATGCTGAAATCAGCTGAATCAAGGAACTTTCCCCACAGAATCACTTTAAGATCAGAAGTCATTCTTTTCTTTGTTACCAAGCCTTGTGAGAACAAGGATCATTGTTCATTTTCATATAAAGCCCAATTTTGAAACCAACTAAATTTAATTTTTTTGGGTACTCTCTGCTCTTTATCAAACTCAGGGTTTGGTTAGGTTAGGCTTCTATTGCTTGTTCACATTCTTTTTTATCGGCAAGCCACTGCTACAACTCCCTCTTCTGCCAGACAAGCATAATTATTTTCTTTTCTTTATGTAGGATTCCTGGATATAAGAAAGCTCTTCTGTTTTGTAGCAACAGAGAAGGTCCTGCATCAAGTTAGCTGCGAGAATGAATTTGAACTTACATTTCCACTGTTTATTCAATTCTCCTGCACACCTATCTTTGTTTATTGTATGGTAGAAAGTGGAGGGCAATCTCATTTACTTTTTGATCTTCATCTTTGCAGGGGTTGTTTTGAATATTTTCACCCAGTTTATATTAGAATTTGGTCTCCTTGCTTCAAAATACATTCCCCCCTTCTTCCTTTAACTTGTAGCTCCTGAGTTTTGGTCTCTCCTTCGGAGGCAAGAAGGATTTCTGCCAAAAGCCACCAAGCCACACTTAGGTAATTATAATAAACAAGTTGGGGCTCTCATTTCACATGCAGAGCTGAATGAAGCAGAGCTGTGGTCAAAGAGATCCCAGTTGCTCGTCTGTTAGCAATGGCACATTAATGCACTCTCATGCTCCCCTCCCCCACTCCAACACTTTTTTTCTTTTTTTAAAGGAAGTAAATCAGGTCACTCTTTAGCATGGGAAGGGCTGTAGCTTTCTTCTGAAACCACCATCAACAACATAAACAAATTAGAGGTAGTAAACCACACATTCTGCCCACACGTAAACCACAGTCCTCACCAGAGGGCAGTCTACTTAATGTGAGAATAACAGCCCAGTTTTATAAGCCTCAACTGGGAATAAATTCCAGTTTCACTGGTTAGAACAAAGTTGGGCAGCCAGAGTATAGGCTCTCCTAGGTTACATGTTGGGAGAGACCGAAGTGGAGAGACCAGGAAAAATATTTTATAAGCTTCTGGTACACCAAACTTGGACCATTCTTTGGTTTTCATTATGTAGAACTGGGATTGCATGAGTGGAATGGACCTGGGGCTGAACTTGTCCAATGAGCTTATTTTATGGAAGGGGAGGCAGGGACCCCTCAAAAGCTACGACTCTCAGGCTCTCAAGGTTACTCTGGGCAGGGAAGACGTATTGCTGGATCCAGACCTCCACATCTGGGCATGTACCACTCCTGCTTTTCCTGAGTGCAAATGGCATAGTTTACAACCGCCAACTTAACCCATACAGGAGTTATAAAATATTCCCTATACCTTCCTGATGCTGATACGCTTCCTTTCCTGACAATGGTGAGTCCTCAACTAATGTGTCCAGCCCTAAACTAATGTGTTCCGTCATCAGTAAATTCCTGCCTGTGATAGTCTTTTCTTAAATACCTGTTTAAACAGTAATTTAGATAAGAGTGTCCCATTTGTGTGCAACAGGAAATGCCTGCCTTCTTTTAGATATGCTGGCAAATAATTACTGTAGATATGGCTTGAATACTGAAAGGCTGTACTCTGGTCATTTCGGACTGCCTGAGAGCAACCACCCAGTCTGCTGCAACGTAATTTCAGGGCATTTCTATTTTACTCTAAATGAATCTGAAGGAAAATCACTTTGGGTATATAAAAAGCTTAGGAGAAAAGCCATCAGGTCAAAGGTTGCCTAAAGACTCTTAAAAATTTGTCTTACTAGAAGGGAGTCACGGCACAAAGTTATAACGTAAGAGAAACCATATCTGATATGTGATAAGTCTGTCCTTACCTGGTCATTCCAGTGGGTATTGGCGATCCTGTCTCCCTTAACAACAGAATGAGCCAAACATTAACCAGGTCATGTTTTTCCTTGGAGTAGTACCCACACAGCTTTAACGTCTTTATTTTAGCTGTTTTAGATCTGTAAGTAGATACCAAAGCGTTTCTTTATTGGTACCTCAACTGTGAATTTTCTGACAATTTCTTTCCATAACCCGTTTAAAAAAGCTTAGTTCCATCTCTGATGAGGAACTTTTGGAAGTGGTCAAACTCATTTCATGAGAGCTTAGAAGCTACCAGTTTAATTCACAAAACATACTTGTTTAGTGAAATGTCTGTGAAATTTCGAGAAGAGTGGAGAAACTCTTAACCAGAGTTAAAACCCCAGGATAAGCGAGAGGTATGCCACAATCCTATGAAGAAGACAAATGTTTGTTCACTGATTTGGTCCTTTACTTTCAACCCCTGTGGTATTTTTTGCCATCTTCCTTGCTTGCCTCCCAACACTCTTTCATACTTTTAGGGTCTGTTTGACAGCACATACATAAAATATTTTTAGAAAACACTGGAGGAAAAGTTTCCACAAGGAAGAAATGGAATACTCTGGTACAAAGAAGTAGCAAATACTAAAGGCGCAAGGAAGTTAGAAGGTCATTAAAAAAATTCCATGTGCCAAGCCATGTTGATACATTATTTCACAATAAGTGGTGATCTCTGGAGACATGGATTCTTCAAATGCAGTCCAGTGTTAACAGATTCCGCGATGTCTACTTGTTACTCCTCTCTGGAGGCAGCACATTCTAAAGACTAGTTCCGTCAGCAACCTCCATCCTATACGTGCTTGCTCAGTCACTTCCGTCGTGTCTGACTCTTTAAGACCCCATGGACTGTAGCCGGTCTGGCTCCTCTGTGCATGGGATTCTCCAGGCAAGCTTACTGGAGTGGGTTGCCATGCCCTCTCCTCCAGGAGATCCTCCCGACCCAGGGATCCAGCCCACCTCTCTTACTGGGATCTTTACCAATAGCGCCACCTGGGAAGCCTATGAGATGCTTCGATTTTCCCAGTCTGTGCCTCTGACCCTTACTACGGTCCTTCAAAGCTAGTTTAAGTCAGTTTTCTGGAAATTCGTTTCCCTCACTTTTACTAGTTTCCTTTCTTCCTTTCGTTGGGATCTTAAATTTCATTATCTTGGGGCCATTCGCACAGACTATCCTGCGGGCCAATGCACAGCCTCCTCCTTTGTTCTGTTTGTGCATCTGGCATGATTCGGGCTCCACCCTTTCCCCAAGCCCGGCGCGTGGTGATTGGTTGCATCGCTGGTGCAGAAGAGCTGGCTCCCAGGTCCTCTGCTTCCTCGCCAGCAGGCCTGGGTCACCGCTCTGGAATTGTCCTAACAAGGGAAGAAGAGCATGTCCGGTTTGAATTTTGGAAGGAAATTGATGTCTTCCCCCTCCCCTCCCCGCCCCGCCATTAGCAGGCACAGACTCATGGACTCGTGTTCATGCGCTCACGTCCTACCAGGAGGTCCCTGGTGGGGCTTGAGGTTTGGCAGCGCCTGCCGTGCTCGCGGAGCTGGGCACGCATCCGCCGCTCGCAGCCACGTGTAATCCTTCCTGTCTGCTGGCCACTTGGGCCCAAAGTCCCCGCGCTCGGGCCCACCCTCTTCTTTAGTAGCAATTAACCTTTACTACAGAGCTTCCTTTGAAGTTTGCTCATGTTTTTATTACAAAACTGCAATGAGGAACATAATGGGGGGAAATGTCTAAATTTCGGAGTTACCTAATCTGTTCAATTCCCTCGCTGGTCTCCTCCTGGCAGTTGTTTCATGTAGTTATGATCTCAACCAGTCTGCCTGAGATTTCAAACCATGTTTCTGTCTCAGCCTATTTTTAAGATTAGTGAGCTATTACACACATGCACAGTACAAACGCACACTGATGTGTCTATTATACGCCTAAGTGTGTACGGCTGAGTATATAGAACTTGTTCCTTGTTTAATGTCTAGGGAAATTTTTTTTTTTAACTTCAGAGACAAGCTAGGTATATGTGCTTTTAATGTTAACTTTAAACTCTAGTTGCTAAATATTTCCTCTCAATGGACTTATGTGAAGAAGAGTGGAAAATTATTTATGTGAGTATCACTAATGATAATGCTGAGTGATAAGTGTTATGACGGGTACTGAATACTATTAACAGTGAAATTCTGGATTTTGAATGGCATCTGCCCAGAAGACTTGCAGTTAAGCTAGGCAGAGGGGCCAAGTGAAACAAATGGTGAGTTATATAAAACCCACAAAAGAGACGGCATTTTAGGCCAGCCTTGCAAATAAGAACCAAAGAATTATGAGTGAAATGGCATTTTTTTTTCTAGGCTGCCGTTCACAGGAGCTCAAATAAATGAAATCATTTTTCTCTGCTTTTCACTCAGCAGTAAATCATTGGTAATCTAAGGTTGGTAGAACAGCAACTGTGAAGCTCAAAGAAAATATAAGAGAATCTTTTTTTTTTTTTTTCCTTAGGATGGGTAAGGACTTTCTAAGAAAAATGTAAAAATCACAAAGGAAAAATAGACTTCATTCTGTACAAGGTAAAAATTTTGTACAACACAAGCTCCATTAAAAAACCAAATGATAAGTGATCTACTGGGGATAGTAGCAAAAAGCTGTATCAAAGGGCTCATTTCTTTATTATTAGTAAGACAGACCAATAAAAGCCCAGTTTCAACTGGACAGAAACAATGAGTAATTTGCAAAAGGGGAAATAGGAATGACAAAATATTTAGTCTTAGTAATCACTGAGATGTGAATTAAAGCAACAATAGATATACAGTCTTTTCTGTTGTATTAATAAATTTTAAAAACAAGACATAATAATACATACCAATATGATGGCTTGGAGTATAAATTGGTATCAAGCTCTGAGAAGCAATCTGTCAATACTCACTCAGCTTTCTTCTAGGAATATAACCTAAATAGGGTGAACATAAATATTTATATGAAAAAATGTTTATTTTAGTGGTGTTTATGGTATCAGAAAATTAGAAGCAAGATAAATAAATACTATGGAAATAGTTCATTTATTATGGGTTTATATTATGGAGTATAATGCAGCAATTAAATATAGTTTAATGTTTTTAAAACCATAAGTAGGTGTTCATAATATCAAGTGAACAAAGTGAAAAGCTATTCACATAGTAGGGCTATAATTTTGAAAAAACAAACATACCTTAAAACATATCTTTAAAGAAAAAAAAGCAAGTTGCCGAAGAGTTAAAGGGAGGACTGGATTTGAACAGCTGGGTTCTAGTCTCAGTTGACTTTGGATATACGGGTTAGCATCCTTGAGTATCAGGTTGCACATTTGCAAAATGGAAGATTATCCTTCTCATCGTAGTTTTCTCCCTGGATTGTGAGAGAATATAGATACATCTGCGGAGGTTATTATTATCAGTATTATTTCTGCAATTTCCTCTTGGTAGATTCTGATAAGTTTTTAAAATGCAGCTCTCCTCAGGTGGAAACATTATGTTAGTTATTCCAAGAGTCATAGAAATAAATATAATCCAATACAAATGGGGACTTGGCCTCCAGGGATATTAGAACACTTAAAAGTTGAATTGAAGAATTTGATTTCCAAGAGCATTTCCCAAGTCATTTGCCTCAAATCCAACAATAAACTTATCTTTCTGTCCTTTTTCAGTTAATGACACCCTTAAAGGATGCAAGAAGCAAATTCCAGTAGCAGGCAATTCAGTTCCAAGAAATTACAAGGGTTATTTATCTTTATGGGAGCACTGATGTATATAGCACTTCTTACCTGATACTTACCTATTGTAAATGTGCCCAATCTGATATCTGAGCAATTCTTTAATTAACTGTAGTTATAGCTCAGGAAAAAGATATACCAATTTTTCCTCAATAACACATATTTAATGGAGATATAATAATTGAGGTAGTTTGTCATTTAGATGAAATGTTTTAGCAGCTTTTTGGATAGTTCTTGAGTAATGTACCTGGAGAGATTAGTTTACTTTGGCTTATGCAAATGTTCAATGCAGTATGATAAACTGCATATGCTCTTGAAAATTTCTTAGTGCTAGATAACACTGAGATATTGTTGCATGTTTTGATACGTAAAACTCAGCAGTTTTGTATTTCCATTTTTTGTTACCATAGCCCTTTTTATATTTAATTCCAATGATACAGGATTAACAGTGGCTTGAAAACAAATTGCCTGGCTTTACACATATATTTAATGCCTGTGTGTGGATGAATAGGACCATAAGTCTTTCTCCTGGATTTGCTTGACTTGTATAAGTTGTTCTTTAAGTTTAATTGGAATTATTTTGCTGTTGTAAGCAGAATTGGATTCAGGTTTTAAATTCAAATTCTTCTGTGCAGCAGCCTGGGCACTCATGTGTATTTTGTCTCCACAGGAATTGAAATCCAAACTCACTAGTTTAAAAATTATGCGTTGGGAAAGTTTGTGGGTAACTCAAAGGTCATGGGGTCAGCAATGGTTATGGGGGGCGACCAGATGAGTTTACCTCTATCCATTTTTAAGCTTTGGGATTACTTTGATGGAGAAGGAAATGGCAACCCACTCCAGTATACTTGCCTGGGAAAGTCCCATGGACGGAGAAGCCTGGTAGGCTACAGTCCATGGGGTCGCAGAGTCCGACATGACTGAGCAACTTCACTTTCACTTTCGCTTTCTCTTGATGGAACTGACAGTATGACTAGTTTAACCCTTCCAGGAAATAGGGGAGATTTTACTGACCATTAATGGATAATTACTGGAGGAAATAGTTCTATTCATTTGGATGCATTTTTGTCTCCTGTTGCTTAAATGGATAAGTCTATAGGTTACGCAATGTCTTCCAGTTTTTAGCACTTCTTTTTTTTTTTAGAAACAGTTTATTTTCACTTCTTGAAAAAATGAAAATCTTCACAATGGATGATAAATCCCTTTAATAATCTTTAACTACCTTTGCAGTAGTTAAATGTTAGCATTCTAGAGAGATGTTTTTGTATGTTTTTAGCTGTATAAAGAGTGTTGGTGAACTTTTGGCTCTTAGGTTGAAGTGCAAAATCTCCCTAAAGAATAAAATTAATAGACTTTATCAAGGGTGTTGGAACCCTGAAGTATATTTCTCTGATGGTATTTCTTTGGGGCATTATAAAAATTGTTTATTTTGATGTTGGGTTTGGAGAAAAGTTTCTAATCTGTAATGTTCCACTGTTGTGGGTTTAAAGGTGCTTTCCAGGATCAAAATAATTTCCAATATTTAATAGAAAACTATTGATTTGTTTTAATAGTCAATGAAATTATATGTTAGATTAAATATCTCTTTAACAAGTATTTTTTAAACACCTTTATGAAGATCACGTGGAGAATTCCTAAGAAGTATGAGTTTTGAGGCTTCCTTTTAAGAGTCTATTTCCTAGTTTAGAATAAAAGATTATTCTTATTAAGCTCTAAATAGCAATATGCAGCATTATTTGATCATCAGACTGAGGAAGGAAATTGTGTAAGAACTCAAAAGAAAGGAGATACTTATATTAAATGGGATGGCGAGGAGATAAGTTGGGAGTTGACATAGAGAATGACTAGAAGTTGGATGGGCAAAGGGGAAGAGAGAGTAACAGAAGAAATGCTTACTGAGCCCAGAAGATAGAGATAAATTTATTCTGGCCTGGGGACTTCTACTGAGGAGTGTTGAGATTAAAAGAGAAAGAATGGTTTCAGAATGAGAGAGGTTCTGTTCCAAGCATATTTTACTTATGGACATTGGGAATTACTGGAGGCTACCGCACAGAAAAGTTGATATACCAGGAAGATAAATTCAGCAACATTGTACAGGCTCAGTGTGAAAGGGCTGGAAAGAGGTTAGCGGTTTAGAGACCCATTTAGAGGACTGTTAAAAAATTCAGGAATGAAAACATGGATTGAAAGAATGGGGTGAAGGTAAAAATCTTACAAGAAAAATGGACAGCATTTAATGACTGAATAGATTGAGGATGAAGGAGACAAAATATCCATGTTATTTTAAAACGTTGAACATGGATAATTTGGGGGGAAATATTATTTTTTAATAGAAATGGGGAAGTGGGAAGACACTTGATTTGAAGGTAGATGATAATATGCAAGATTTTGGATATGCTGGACTTGAATGATAATAAGCTTGTTATGTTGAGATCAAATTTCTCATAGAAATAAGGTTGGGTCCTGATTTGATGCTTAGTTTAAATGGCATTATCTCATTTGACTCAAGAACCAAGCACTTCATTAGAAAGATACTTTTCATGTACTTCACAAAACTTTAAGAGGAGTCATACTTGACAGACAATTCTTAATAGGTGTTATAGTTAATTAAATTCCATAATGACTCAAAGAAGGCATTGGGAGTAGAATTCAGATATTCTACCCTCTAGCCCAATAAAGTATCTTGAAAGAGTTTAATAATTCATAGAACTGTAAGGTTGATGGGATCTAAAGTGTCATCTATTCTAGTCATTAATCTAAAGCTGAAATTCCTCCATATCAACCCTAATTCATGGCTATCTAGGCTATATTAGAACCCCTGTGCCAGGGAACTTTAGGTGACCCATTTAACTTTGGATGGCTCTGATTGAAATCTGTCTTCTTGTAATTTTAAGCCATTTTTTCTTAGTTCCCCCATTGAATATCTACAAATTGAACAAATTAGGTATGACTCATTCTGTAATCCTAGTGGAAACATGTATTTATTTTCTTTAAGGTAACAAATCCCCTTCGACTGGTGGGAAATGCATGCTTAGTTATTATTCTTTATGCTTCCTCCATTCCAAAGGTGTGGAAAGGTCTTAAGGCTGAAATGGTGTGGTCATTTACTTCAGCATGGTTCTGTACTGCTCCAGGGAGCCCTTGGAGCTCCAGGGTTGAGGGTGCAAACTCCTAGTTACTCTCTTCCGCTCTCCTCTCAAAGATGGTCTTGCCATCTCCTCCAGGCAAGACCTCTGCTCCATGCAGAGTCCCCCTGATCTCTACTTTTCTCATTCTGGACGAAATTCACTCTCTTTTTTTGGTCCACACCATGACACCATCTTCTCTTTGTTCCCTCTGGGAAATTCACCTAATTTCTTCAACGATTTTAGCTTTTATAAATGTCCAGAGGATTCACTAGCATCAAATAACTTTAACTCTGTTCTGCGTAAGCTACTGAGGCAAAGAAATACCACAGGCTCAACGGTGTGTTTGAAATGGGAAAGGAAAAATAGAGAAAGAACAAACATAAATTAACCTTTCAGTAAATAATCCTGCCATATGAACTTAAGCCTTGTGGCTGATGGAAGCCTTTGGACTCTCTTACGACTCCACTACAATTTAGTCCAAGATACCTCTGCATGATATAACTTTCTAAGACATTGTAGAATGCTATCAGCTCCCAATTTGGGATGGTTTGCAGAGTTGTAGTTACACATATGTTTACTCTTAATCTCTACTTTATTCATAATAATAATTAAATTGCTGATTATTTCCCAGCTGGATAATAGATTGAGCTGCCCATGAGAGTACTGACAGTTAAAGATTAGCTCATTTGATTTATGGATTCAACACAGATAAACCAAAGAGGAAATAATCCCTTCCCCCTCCTTCATCTGTGAATAACAGAGGTTTTAATGCAGGCATATTTTAACAATGGTCTTTCCTATTTTTTTTTAAAGAGCAATAGCATTATAAGGTGAATATCGAGATGTGGAATTCTGTCTCTTCTATATTAGTAGAAATTTATGAAGTTTTTATTTATTCACAGATAATGAGTGTGTATATGGCAGCTACCCTGAAATTCCTTTGGAAGAAATGCCAGATGCAGATGGAGTAGCCGGTGCTCTATCCCTCAGTATTCAAGAGCCATGCTCTCCAGCCACATCCAGTGAAGCATTCACGCCGAAGGAGGGCTCTCCTTACAAAGCCCCCATCTACATCCCTGATGATATCCCCATTCCTGCTGAGTTTGAACTTCGAGAGTCAAATATGCCTGGAGCAGGCCTTGGAATATGGACCAAAAGGAAAATTGAAGCAGGTGAAAAGTTTGGGCCTTATGTGGGAGAGCAGAGGTCAAACCTGAAAGACCCTAGTTACGGATGGGAGGTAAGAATATCTTTTGAGTTAATACATGTGTGTATATTAAGATGTGTAAAGAAGAGATTGCTTTTAAAAATGTCCATAATATAAGAAAATTCTATTTGTTGCAAATTATCTTCAAATAGAGTTTTAAGGATGAACCTCTCTTAACAATTTTCACTGCTTTATAGAAACAAAGTATTGCTTGAAAGTATGGCATGATAGAAAGAAACCCAACTAATGAATGGTCAGAGGATAGTGTTTTGAAAACATATTAAAGGATACAAATATAGTTTTTAAATTAATATTTGGAAACATTAAAGGTGGCCATCCCTAAGGTATGTGGCATAAGCAAACAGAATAGTCATATGACCTGTTTGTTGTATTTTATCTTTACTTTTTTGGGAAGTGGGCTTGGAAAATTGGAGGAAACATTTGTTTTCTCCATCTTGTGGCTTTGAGTTAATTTGGTTTTACTTTCATTCTACATGTTTATTTTGCTCTGTATTCTAATATATTTTGCCCTCTTTTGGTCATCCCAATTTGATTATACATGTCTCCAGAATATGTGCACTGTACTGAATCTTGTCATGGTTATTTATATTCAGATTGGTTTAATGAGTAATTCATGTATAAACATGGCAGCAAAAAGCAATATGAAAATCAGTTGCTAGTTTCAGCCATTCTTTTTTAGAGAACTCATCTGGAAATACATAAGAAAGGGAAGTTATGTCTGATTACAAAATCTAAATTAACTTTATTTTGATAAGGACAGGTAAACTAGTTATTCTTTTGAGTTTATAATTTTTGTACAAAATTAGTATATGTATACATACATGTATATGTATATATATTTCCCACTTATTTTTATAACTTGAAAACTTTTGTGGTTATATTACAGCATCATATTTTCTGGAATAGCTGACCTATATCTGAAAAACTTGTAGGTAATTTCTATGTACAAGAAAGTGTTTTTTGGAGATATGATTGAACTCTGGTTTTACAGTTTCAGTTAGATAAGAAGTCGGATAAACTAGATTTATTTTAGTCTTTCTCTTAATATTTATGATCATTAATGGAATATCTGGTTAACTTTTAAAATAGAAATAAATATGCAGTGCCTTCAGGACTTCATTTCAAATTTTGTCCCTTTGCTCTATCTGTGTCCCCTTGTGAAATCTGCTCAAAATGCAATAATAAAAACAATTCTTATTCAAATTCTGAAATGCTAAAAGTTAAGATCCAGATTTGACATAATTACAAGTGAGAAATCCTTCCTTAGTTTTGCTCTTGACCACAGCTCTGGTAAAGTGGTTTAGTTACACTACTTCTAGACGTGTCTATTGATAAGAGATTTTTAAGAAATCACTGTAGCATTAACTGATATGTGAGTTGAATACGTTTTAAACCAAATGCGTACAGACTTTACGTCGTTATCATCCACCTTAAAATAATGGCTATAAACACTCCACTAATAAGTAACTCATTAACTCATTAAACTTTTATTACAAAATCTCTAGAGTTAAACAACAAGTGCAGTACTGCTAGAGATTTTCCAGAAGGCTTGGAATAAAACAAGACTTAATAATGAAATCATTTTGCAATTCCAGGGTTGGTAAATGCAGAGGTCTGTGCCTCTTTAAACAGGATACCTGTAGATTTGGGGATGAACCTGGTGATAGTTCTGCATTTAGAGGAAATGTAAAAATAATTAATTTTTTTCTCCTTGGAGTAAAATGTCTTCAGCAGATACATGGGCAGCTGCTTGCCCTGAGAAATGTGAAATAATTCTTTTCATTATGTCAAAACTGAGCTTTGTGTTGTTGCTTGGAATTCAAGATAATTTTATAACAAGTTCACGACTGTTTGCCCATCAAGAATTCAGTTGATGGTCAATTCGGTGGTTTTCTTCACCACTGTAATGGTTTCCCTTGCGTTTATTTTTTAAAAATAATTTTATGTATTTGTCTTTGGCTGTGTTGGGTCTTCGTTGCTGCACAGGCTTTGCTCTTGTTGCGGCGAGTGGGGCTACTGTCTAGGCGTGGTGCCCTGGTGGGCTGCTCACTGCGGTGGCTCTCTTGCTTCAGCACAGACTCTAGGGTGCATGGGCTTCGGCAGCTGTGGACCGTAGGCTCAGGAGCTGTGGCCGCCGGCCCCAGGGCGCAGGCTCGGGGGCTGTGCTGCGCATGCTTAGTTGCTCATGGCATGTGAGATCTTTCCCTACCACGGCTGGAATCCGTGTGGCCTGCATTGGCAGGCAGACTCTTACCTGCTCAGCCATCAGGGAAGCCCTGTCCTTGCTTTTGAGAGTATGGATTGTCTGTTTTAGATGTATTGTGAACCAGGCAAGAGCAACAGCTTGTTTTTAAAATTTTGGTGTAATTTTGGCAAAATTGTTATCCACAGAGGAACAGTTGAGTTCTTGACGTTAGTATTTTGTTTCTTTGTTTTTTTTTTTTTTAATCTTACCCTGCTTAATACAAAATCCAATCATGATCAACAAAGGCACTTGCACAAAGCTTCTGACCTACTCCCATGTGCCCTTTAAGTCATTCTTATGTCATATTTGCCCTCAAATGTAGCTGATTTCCCTCCTGTTTGGTTGGACAGATAGTGTGATTAACCAGTGTGACTTCTTTTTCTGATACTGTGTCATTTTTAAAAATGATGAATTGAAGGAGAAAATTACCTCTTAGGCCAAAAAGAATGAACATGAATGGAGGAAATCCAGATTCAGCCAGCAGTTATTCAGTGTTACTGTCCATCAGATTCTGTACTAAATGTTTCCTTGAGAGAATCCCAGCCTATCAAAACTGAACAAGCCATTCCTATCTCTAGTACTACCCTTGCTTTTTTCTCCCTATAAAACTCTGCTCCTTGTGCATTTCCTTTTTAATAAATTGGACTACCATCTGTCTACCTGCTCAAGCCAAAAAATGGATCATCTTTGACTGTACTGTATCCCATACCAAGCTTATCTGATTTATAGTTCCTCTGTTCTTTCAAAGCCTCCATTCTTTGCACAAACTGGTCTCCATTCCTGGGAATCTCCTTTTCCTTCCTGTTCTTAGCAAGTTTATATCCATTTCTCAAGTTCTCTTCCTTCATGTCATCATCCCTGATCCTCCTATTAGCAATTTAGTACTGCTTAAATTTTTCCTCACCATAGCATTAAGTAAATCCATACTAAAGAACATAAAGCATTGTGTAGCATCCAAACTGTTTGCCTAGTTTCCCTCACAGAGCAATATTTCCATGAGAGCTGGCATAGCTGTATCCTCTAAGTGCAATGTCTTGATGGTGTCCTATCTGTGGTGCCTGTGGTGTTGTCTAATGCTAAGTATATTATCCGAAATAGTCAGGATTAGTCAAGTCAGGCTGCTATAAACAATATACTATAGACTGGGTGGCTGAAATAACAGAAATTTATTTTCTCGCCATTCTGGAGATTAGAAGTGTGAGATCAAAGTTTCAGCTGATTTTGTTCCTGGTGAGGACTCTCTTCCTGGCTAGCAGATATTGTCTTCTTGCTATGTTTTCACTTGGCCATTCCTAGTACATGAACATGCATACACACCCACGGAGAGAGAGAGAGAGGGTGAGAGAAAAGGGTGGTGGTTGATACACTTTGGTGTCCTTTCTTTTTTTAAGAACACTAATCCTATTATATCCGGAGCCCACCCTTATAGTCTCAGTTCAGTTCAGTTCAGTTCAGTTCAGTCACTCAGTCATGTCCAACTCTTTGTGACCCCATGAATCCCAGCACACCAGGCCTCCCTATCCATCAACAGCTCCCAGAGTTTACTCAAACTCATGCCCATCAAGTTGGTGATGCCATCCAGCCATCTCATCACCTGTTGTCCCCCTCTCCTCCTGCCCCCGATCCCTCCCAGCATCAGGGTCTTTTCCAATCAGTCAACTGTTCGCATGAGGTGGCCAAAGTACTGGAGTTTCAGCTTCAGCATCAGTCCTTCCAATGAACACCCAGGACTGATCTCCTTTAGGATGGACTGGTTGGATCTCCTTGCAGTCCAAGGGACCCTTAAGAGTCTTCTCCAACACCCCAGTTCAAAACCATCAATTTTTCGGCGCTCAGCTTTCTTCACAGTCCAACTCTCACATCCATACATGACCACTGGGAAAACCATAGCCTTGACTAGACGGACCTTTGTTGGCAAAGTAATGTCTCTGCTTTTTAATATGCTATCTAGGTTGGTCATAACTTTCTTTCCAAGGAGTAAGTGTCTTTTAATTTCATGGCTGCTGTCACCATCTGCAGTGATTTTGGAGCCCCCAAAAATAAAGTCTGACACTGCTTCACTGTTTCCTCATCTATTTCCCATGAAGTGATGGGACTGGATGCCATGATCTTGGTTTTCTGAATGTTGAGCTTTAAGCCAACTTTTTCACTCTCCTCTTTCACTTTCATCAAGAGACTTTTTAGTTTCTTGCCACTTTCTGCCATAAGGGTGGTGTCATCTGCATATCTGAGGTTATTGATATTTCTCCCGGCAATCTTGATTCCAGCTTGTGCGTCTTCCAGCCCAGCATTTCTCATGATGTACTCTGTATGTAAGTTAAATAAGCAGGGTGACAATATACAGCCTTGACATACTCCTTTTCCTATTTGGAACCAGTCTGTTGTTCCATGTCCAGTTCTAACTGTTGCTTCCTGACCTGCATACAGGTTTCTCAAGAGGCAGGTCAAGTGGTCTGCTATTCCCATCTCTTGAAGAATTTTGCACAGTTTGTCGTGATCCACACAGTCAAAGTCTTTGGCATAGTCAATAAAGCAGAAATAGATATTTTTCTGGAACTCTTTTGCTTTTTTGATGATCCAACAGATGTTGGCAATTTGATGTCTGGTTCCTCTGCCTTTTCTAAAACCAGCTTGAACATCTGGAAGTTCATGGTTCATGTACTGCTGAAGCCTGGCTTGGAGAATTTTGAGCATTACTTTACTAGCGTGTGAAATGAGTGCAATTGTGTGGTAGTTTGAGCATTCTTTGAGATTGCCTTTCTTTGGG